AGTTCTTTTGAAAATCCTATCTTACTGATTTTTTTTTGTGAATTTCATACAATATATTTTGATCCTGAGATCACCTCCCCTATCTGTACCTCCTTACCAGCCTTCACTCTTCATCCAATTTCGTGTACTCTAATATATGTGTTAAAGCCTGTGGAGTCAAATTTGTGTCCCCAAATGCCCTCTAGTCCATCCACTAGAGCCTGGTCATCCCTACCAAGAGTCACAACTTTAAATGAGACTGACTCCCCACTCCCGGCAGTCATCGCTTACCAACACCTCCTCAGGTAGGGTTGGTGCTTCTTACCCACTTCCCCAGGTCAATGCTGGGATTTTGTCTCACTTGACCTTATAGGGGACTACGTGACTGGTTTTAATGTTGAGATTAATAGCTGTAAACCATATTCATAGATTTGTATTCCTTGTCTCTCACACATCCTAGAATATTCTGTATTCACTTTCACTATGTTCTAAGAGTTTCTTAATTTCCCTCCTGATTTTTGTTGATAATCCATTGATCATTCAATAGGGTATTGTTCAATCCCATGAAATTGTATATTTTCTGTTTTTCTTTTGTAGTTGAAGTCTAGTTTTATTCTGCTATGATCAGGTAGAATCCTAGCAATTATTTCAATTTTTAAAAAGATTTAAAAGTGTGCTTTTTGTGTATCAAAATGTTTTTCAATTTGTTTTCATTTTAAATGATGTGCATATGTACGTGTCTGTGTGTGGGTATGTGCACGTGAGTGGGTATCCGAGGAAGCCAGAGGTGTCTTATCCCCCAGGATCTGGAGTTTGAGGCAGTTCTGCACCACTTGATGTGGTTTCTGGGCATTGAACTCAGGTCTTCTGGAAGAACAGTGTGTTTTCTTACCATCTGAGCAATCTCTCCAGCCTGTGCTTTGTGTTTTAAAACGTGGTTTATTTTGAAGAACATTCTGTGCTTCTAAGATGAATACATCTTCAATAGAGATTGAACAGGTAGGTTTATGGATTGTTGTTTTTCTCTGTAATATAATTTAACTGTGATGTCTCTTTATTGATTCTTTGTCCTGATGCCTGGACTATTGGAGTTAATAATTTAAGCCACCCGTACTTACTTTAGTGATGTCAATTAGTGCCTTTATATGCAATAAGATTTGCCTTATAATGCAGAGTGTACTCATGTTTGGTATGTGCATATTTGGAATTGTTCTATACTCCAACTTATATGTTCCCTTGATCAAAATGAATTGATCATCTTTATACTCTCTCAAATTTTTTGTTCCAAGCATCCTTTCTATCAAATCCAGGCATCCAAAATTCCCATATGCGCACAGGAGGCATTTGGAACTATAAACCAAAAAGAGAATGAAAGTATCTCCCCACATCATCTAGGTACAACACTAAGCATTCAGAACAAAGACGCTATATTTAAATTTACAAGAGACAAATAGAGTATCACAGATAAAAGCAGACCCTTTGGAATAACTTCAGGTTTCTCAACAGGACGTTTGAAAGTGAGGAGGAATTGGAATGATGCATTTCAAATTTGGAAAGACAACTAACTACAGCTGACCTAGGCTACCATACCCAGCAAAAACATCTATATTCATTGAATGGGAAAGAAGACTTTCTCAGAATAAAAACAGGCCAGAACTTGGTATGTAGACCAGGCTGGCCTAGATCTCACAGAGATACTTCCTCTGCTTCCCGAGTGCTGGGATTAAAGGTGTGTGCCTCCATGCCTGACATCTCCAGATGATTCTCTTTTTAAAAGTTTCATCTTGTTTTATTCAGTGAGATTCAGCTGAAATATATTTGAGCATCTCCTCCGAAACTGGGACCTGTCTCCAGTGACCTCTGAGAGGAGCCTTTGCCATTGGTTTCCAGTGCTGCTTCATGAGAGTTACTCAGAAATGGGTTGTCCAAGCGACTTGTCTGCCGTCTTTGCTGTGTTTCTGCCTCTCAAGGAATGTTTCGAATTCCTTAGCCACTGAAATGTCATAGTCCACTTGTCCCCCTTCCTACTGAGCATTCACTGATTTCTGAGCTATTTCTCTTCCCCTATTTCTCTTAAGTTTTTGATTTATTTGCTGTTCTGGTTCCAAACTGTGAGTTTCACAAAGAACTGAGTCTGTTTCCTCTTGTGTCACCAGTGGTGTACACATGGTTGAAACTCAGAAATGATGGAGGCAAACAGACCAAGCAACCCAAGAACTTTTCAACACCATAGGAATGGCTCACCACATTAAAGGACATTACCAGGATCAAGGGCAGTCACTAGACTAAGGGAAAACCGCCACTGTCCTAGAGGTGACACTGGCCTTTAAAATAAAGATCTTTCATCCAGATTATAAAATTTGACTCAACAGGTCTTAACATACATGACAGAATGCATGAACTCCAGTGGGTGTGCTATGGGGGGATGCAGATGGGGAAAGGGTTTAAGTATGTTTAAAATGTATTGTATGAAATGCACAAAAATTCAATAAAAGTATATATTAAAAAAGATCTGCTTGAGGAATGGCTCACAATTCAATCCAGGCACAAATTAATATAATACAAATTAACATGCCACATTAAACAGCTCTAAAATATTTAGAGTAAAGTAACTATTTTGGGGAAAAAATCAATGATCAAGGGCAATGTTTAGAATTGGTCTACAAGTTGCAGTTTAAACATTTTTAAAAGATGAACTCTACGAGATGTTAAAATGCTGAAGATTAAAACCCTGAAGGAGGCCCAGAATTGAAGGGCAGATTAAATAAAATAGGCCAACAGACATCTACAATACTCCAAGGTCTGGAGAGCCGGTCGGCAATTAGAAGCACTGGCTGCTCTTGCAGAGGACCCGGGTTCTATTCCCAGCACCCACATGGCGGCTAACAACCATCTGTAACTCCAGTTCCAGGGGATCTGACACTCTCTTCTGACCTCCATGGGCACTGCACGACACAGGTGTGCTTACATACGTGCAGGCAAAACATTCATAAAATAAGAATAAAGCAAATTGAAAACAAGAAAAAAATACTCCAGACGAGAAAAAAGTAAGGCAGCAACAAAACAAAAATGATATCTTAGAAGCAAACAACAGTAGTATTTTTAGAGAATAAAGACCAGTCGACCAGGACACAACTGCTGGTAGATTTAGAGCAGCTTTGGGGATTTGTGTCGAGAATAGTCACTTAGTGGCTTGCTGAGGTAATGATTGTTTAACCTCGTGGTCTGTTCCTGTTTCTGGAGGAATTTCGTTTGCTGGTTTTCCAGTTTTGTTTTGTTTAAGGAGAGCTTCCATTTAGACAACTAAAAAACAAATGTTCTGAAGCAATATACAGCGACAGAGCAATCAATCAGTTATTTTACCAAATATACTTCTTTATGGATAATACAAAAATAAGCTTTCTAGGCTAACAGAAGATTTAGGAAAATGGGCAATTTGTGCTTGTTCTTTTTAATATCATAAGCGGGTACAGAATCTAATTTAAATAAGAGAAATAGAGAATTGACATACATATATTCATTCTAAAATTCAGTAGTCTTCTGTATTAGAAGGCCATAGCCCCACCTAGCTACCAGTTACTCTTTTTGAAATATATTTTTCTTTTAAACATCAAGATATATCTCAGAATGTATCAGTGACAGGATATTTGCTCTACTAAGCAATCCAGCTTGAGAGCTAAACACTTTAGATCTCAGTGTTAACAACAGATTACAGTAAGTCTTAAAGCATTCTGCCAACCTATTAAAAGATGATGGAGTGAAGCTAGAGAAGGCATCATGGGCTTTGCTTTACCGCCTAAGGTATCACAGCATCACGTAACACCAGAAATCTTTCCCTTATGCAGTATCCCATACAGATTTATTCGGACCAAAGGGAAAGACAAACACATCCAGAGGCTACAGGAAAAACTAAGCAATGTAGATGGTAAGTGAGGGAAGGGGAATATCAGTCACCCAAGTAAACAAAATGAGTGGAATGAATTCACACAGCCCAATAGTAAATTTGAACATTAATGTTCTTAATTCTACATTCAAAAGATACAGACCAGGGAATTGGATTACAAAATAGTATCCATCTATTTCTTGCCTCCAAGATCTGTACCCCACCATGAAAGACAGATGCTAGTTTGGGGTGGGGGATGGAAAACCCATTTCAAGCAATTGGAACTAGGAAACAGCCAGCACCACTCTTGTAATAGTTGACAAAATGCAACGAAAACCCAATCCAAATAACATCACTTCCAGTGGTGAAAGGAGCAATGCATCCGAGGACTTTACAATTCTTAATGTGATTATAAATATAGTCAAACAGGGCTGCACCCATTGTCATAAAGCACATATTGCTAGAGAAAAAGTCACCAAATAACCACAAACCCAGAGTAGCTGGTAACTTCAGCACCCCAGCCTCACCAACGGGCATGACATGCTGACAGTGAGAGACGTTCAAGTTAAATCATATCATTTATCAAATGGACCCAACATATATCTACCACACAGTCCATTCAAACACTGCAGAAAACACTTTTTCTCAGCAGCCCATAGGACTTTGGATGCAACAGATCACTGCAAAGAGAAGCTTCTTGGATCAAAGCTAAGGACATAGCCAGCCTGTGGGTACAAGCATAGATGTTTAGGAGGCAGGTTGGTAACGTGCCTAACAGCATGATAGAAGTAGTGCTGATGAACTCCACAGCCCCAGGCCTTTGACTGGGTTCCTAGTACTAGGTGCGAGCTCCCCGTTTGGAGGGGGCCATATCCAATCAGAAATCTCCCTAGACTGCTGTGCATAGAAACTCGTGATACTGTGAGAGCCAGGGAGAGAGCTTCCAGGTCAATTCTAGCTCAATTTTTCAAATTCTCCTGTCTGAAGTATGTTGTGCCTTTAGTAACAGAGTCTGGTTTTGGAGGTGAACATAAAATTTTACTGTTCAAATAAGACAATAGCACTTGTATTTCAGGTGTTTGTGACCATGAATTTTAATCACTGTGACTTTGATGAGCCTAGTACTCTGTTTTGTGTATTATTTGTGGTTAGTATGCTGCTGCTGTAGTGAAGAGGGCTGGTGAGATGATGCTGACCATGAGGCAGTAGACCCCACAGTTTCTTTCGAGGCTGGAAACGATGGGCTGCCTCTTGGCAGCTGGTTAGAATTAGGAGCCCTATTGGCTGAAAAATGAGGACACTCAGTTGGAAAAGTAGAAGGCTCCACCCACAGTCCAAAATTACCCTTCCGCAAGGGCGGCAGGATGCGTTGTTGACAAGTAGAAGTTGCAATGAAATTCATTTTGTTGTCATTTGTTCGAGTGCGGATGCTGTGTGAGAGCCCATGGAAAGCGGACACCTGATTTAAAGCAGCCTGGTGATGTGTCAGAACTTTCTCTGATGGAGAAAACTTCCTTCTGGCTGTGTTGGTTGCTTTAAGAAGCTCCTGGCTTGTGGAAGCCTCCCTTGTCGGAGGCACACTGAAATGTGCAGAGGTGGAAACCCTAACGTCCTCCCTAGTTTCAGCAGTAGCATCAGAATTGTGCTTATCCACGCTGTCCTTTGCTCTGCGGGTCTTGAAATCTGGAGCTAAGGGGGCAGCTCCCGGAGAAGCATTTTTAATCCCAACTCTTCTTCTCATTCTTGCTAAAAGATGGGGACAGCCTCGTACAAAATTTGGATTGCGATAGAACCGCAGCTTGCTTAAAGCAGACACTTCCTTTTCTTCTGCCAGAAAGTCAACGAGAGAAGCCGATCTCTGGAAACTCTGCCGCATTTTACTGAATCCATAGAGATTTAGCTGTCGGACCAAGCTCTTCATGCTCTCTGTTTCAAATATCCTGAAAGCGGCTTTCCTTTCCAGCACCTCCTTCTTGAAGAGTTCTTCATTAATGACTATAGAAGTTCCATCCTCATCCCACCAAATAGACTTAAACTTATCACTTTCCACTATTTTCCAAAGTTTCCTAGGAAAGTTCATAGAGAAGAAATCGTGGTCTTCATTTTGCCCAAAGACACAGAGTCTATAGTGCGGGTTTCTAATCAAGGATCGCTGAGACAAAATCTGAAAGGCACTTTCCTCGACCAGAGCCCTTAAGTCTGAGTCATGGCGTGTGTTATCACAGAGAGGAGAGGTGAAAGGCGTTTCTGAGTTACTTGATCCATCTTTAGGAGAAACATCTTGAATTTCTGGAGATTCACCTGCCATCTCAAATAAAAGTTTCTTTAGCTAGATACACATCCATCAAAAGGATTTGTACACTGCACATTTGAAGGGCGCTTCCAGACCTCCCCCAGAGATGAAGCCCCCAAGGCCATCATAATGCTGTCCACTTGCACAGATATGACATCACAAGATGACTTGGGTCTCCTAGCAATGAATGTGCAACATTCTGCCAGAGGTGTTCCTGTCCTGTCCATTTGTGTGTGTGTGTGCACTGTTTTCCTGAGTGGCTTTTGGCAGGTGGCCATTTTTACAACGCTAACTCTCTCTGTCCATGCACACGGGTGCTTTCTTCCTATCAGTCTATAACAGTTTCTTTGTATTGTTTTAAATTTTGTAGCATTCTTTCACTTCTAGGTGAGTTATATTCTAAGGTATTTATTTTGGGGTGTCAATTGTTAATGGGAATATCTCTCTGATTTTTTTCTCTGTATTTTGGTCGCTTGTCTGTAAGGAGGCTACACGTATTCTTAAGTGTATTTTGCATCCTGGCATTTTGTTGAAAGTGCATTTATTAGCTATAGAATTTTTCATTTTTTATTGAAGCTTTGCAAATTTCGCACCATATATTTTGATCATATTTAGACCTCCTTCCTTCTCTGCACCCTTCTTAATACTATCTGCCTGATTTTGTTTATTCATTTATATATATTAAGGCCTAGCCAGTCAGTTTGTGTCCCCAAATGCCCTTTAGTGTGGGTTCATCCATTGCAGCCTGGTTAACCTGTCCCATGTCCCATCCTTAAAGAAAATGGACTCTCTCTTTCCCAGCAGCCATTGGTTGCCTATAGCTCTTTGGGTAGGGTTGGAGCTTCTCCACTTCCCGACTCTTATGCTGGGATTTTGTCTGGCTTAAGCAAATGTGGAACTTGTGCATACTGTCGCCATTGCTGTGGGTTCATATGAATAGCTGCCCAGCTGCCTGGAAAACTGCTCCTTGTGGCCCCCCCCCGCCACCCCCGCTGGCTCTTGCAGTCCTTTTCCACAATGATCCCCGAGCTTTGGGCCCCAGAGTTTTGACAGAAGTGTCCAATTCAGGGACAGGCACTGGCAAGTCTCTTAATCTCTGCACGTTGACTAGACATGGGTCTCTGGGTCAATCACCATTTCCTGCATGAGGAAGCTTCTCTGAAGAGGGTTGAAAGATGCATCAATCTATCTAGGAGTCTATTAATAACAATAAATTATTAAAAGTCAGTTTAATTCTATATTGATTTAGCAGAATAATAGTAGTAGGCTCTCCCCAGGGTCTGTGGTCCATCTAGCCACAGGTTCCTAGGCCTGATACCGATGTCAGGTATGGGCTTCATCTTATGAAGTAGACCTTAAATCCTATCGGAAAGTGGATGGTTACTTCCATAATATTTGTGCCACTGTTTCTCCAGGGGGCATATCTAACGAGGCCACTTGGAGCTAACAGGATTCACAGATGAGTAAGGATGATGCTTACTTTTCTCTTCTGGTAGCATACATAACACTTTCCAGGACTATGAAACCTACCTGGTAGAGGTGAAGCCTTGAAGTCAGCACCAGCTTGATTTCTCCTTGTTTGTTCTGAGGCTCATGTATATAGTATCTTCATCAATAAGGTCTTACCATCAAGTGCAGGTGGGCAACCAAGAGCAGGGGCAATGGCCAGAATTGTTTGAGGGTCTATGGGACCCCTTGACAACAGGTTCAAAGGAGGGAGCCCATTCCTGGCATTGGGCTTTTACTTTGCTAGCCTATGGGATCTAGTAAGGACAACAGTCCCTGGCTATAAGGAAACTCCCTTTAATCTTTTTATAATGTATATGTTTATACATTAAGTTTCTATAGTGGCAGGTTTCCATATGACTGTTTCTAAGGAGCTTTACTGCTAGTCATCCCTCCCCATTCTCCCCCTCTTCCCTGCCACTCATTCCCCACTCCCTTTAATCCTTCCTACTCTATTGTTATCTTTTCCCACTTGGTATCACTGCATTCTAGCTCCCGTCCCAGAAGGCCTCCCCCAACCCATGGGCATTTATGTTTCCTGACCTCTCTGGCTGTTCAAGTTGAAACGTGTATCTAAGAACTCAAGGCTAACATCCAGCTATGAGAGAACATGAAACCTTTGTCTTTCTTGGTCTCGGGTACCTCGCTCAGGATGATTTTTCCAGCTCTACCCATTTACCTGTGAATTTCATAATTTCATTTTTTAAACAGCTGCGTGTTTCATCATGTGAATGTGCCATACTTTCACTATGCATTCATCAGTTGATGGACATCCAGGTTGTATCTCTGTAGTAGGATATAGTTTTGGAGGTATATGCCAAGAGTGGCATGGCTGGCTCATATGGTAGATGGAGTTCTACCCTTGGGAGGAATCTCTACACTGATTTTCACCCTGGCTGTACCAGTTTGCACTCCCACCAGCAGTGGGATAAGAGTTCCTCTTTCCCCACATCTTTGCAAGCACTGGTCCTTGTTTGTGTTTTTGGATTTTCGTCATTCTGGGTGGTGTAAGATGAAATATCAAAGTGTCTTTGCGTTTATCTGATGACTAAAGATGTTAACCATTGTGTTAAACATTTCCACGTGCTTCTTGTACCTTCATAGGTGTCTCTTTCCATAGATTTGGGAAGCTTTTATCTAGCATTTTATTAAAAGAATTTTCTGCCCCTTTGACCTGGTTTCTTCTCCTTTTTTGTATACCTGTGACTTGTAGATTTGTCCTTTTATCATGTCCAGAGGTCTTACATATCCTGTTCTGGGTTTAGATTTGACACGTTCTTTGACCGAGAGATCCATTCCACAAACTTGTCTTCAAGATCTGATGTTCTCTGTTCCATTTCCTCTACTTCATTTCTGCTTCTTCTAAAATTTTTGATTTCCTGAGTTTTTAGCTTCAAGTTTTATTTGAATTTCCTTGGAGATTACCTCTTCACTGGATTCTATTGTCATGTTTTGAATTGTTGTAGTTATTTCACCCAACTTATGTTTTCACAGCCTTCAATTCCGTCTTTTATTTGTGTTCACTTTGAGTTCCTTGAACATATTTACTGTCTTGTGGCTCTACTATGTTGCCATCCCCAGGAACATCACGATGGGGTGCTAAGTTCTGGAGGAGACAGATTTTCTTGGTTATTCATAGTGTTTGTGTGATAAGACCTAGACAATTGGGCTTGTGTGGTGGTGTTTCTTGGCATGGGTAGGCGATGCCATCTTTGTTGAATGGTTGCTGCTGTCTTTGTTTGCTGTTTTCCCAACTTGTCAGGCTATGGGCCAGCTGAGCAGTGCTTGCTGTTCAGTTTTGGGGCCACTTTACCCTGATGTGCAAAAGGAATGTGAGAGGTGGTTTCAGTTCAGCTGGTGTGTGTGTGTGTGTGTGTGTGTGTGTGTGTGTATGACTTTTGAGTTGATTTTCCAGGATTAGCTCTTCATGGTGTTGGATCAACGGGGTGGGCTGAGTGGCTGCTAGGTAAACAAGTTGGCTGACAGTTTAGGCTGTGGGGGTTCTCAGGTCTGGGGCAACCAAATACATACATACATACACACACACACGCACGCACGCACGCACGCACACACACATACACACACGCACACATACACATGCACACACAATATGTATTTTTCAGTAAGCCTATGAAATAATGTTTCCCTATGGTATTTTGGACCAACAAGTATTATTCACACCTCCTTTCTCACTTTCCCTCTGTATGATGTTTGCTCTCCCCTCTCCAGTCATAGCACCCTCCCATTTTTCCCATTTCCAACTTGATAACACCGTCCTCTTTGGAGTCCTTCTTCCTCTCCCCACACAGTTCCTTTCTACTTCCAGGCCTTTGCCATGGAGCTGGGATCCACAATGGGAGAGAACACACATCTTTTTTTTTTTCTTTTTTAATGAATCTGGGTTACTGTACTCAGTATAACAGTTTCCAGATCCATCCATTTACTTATGAATTTCATGATTTCATCTTTCTTTACAGCTGACTAGAAATCCATTGTGTAAATGTACCACCTTTTCATGATCCACCGAAGGATGTTTAGATTGTTTCTATTTCCTAGCTATTGTGACAAAAGCAGCAACCACCATGGCTGAGCAAATATCTCTGTGCTAGGATACTGAGTCCTTTGAGTTTATTCTGAGGAGTGGTATGACTGGCTCATATGGTAGATCTATTTTTAGTTAACTAATTAATTATTTTTTATGTGTATGAGTGTTTTTCCTATATTCACGTAAGGGTACCCATGCCACACAATGCCCAAGGAGGTGAGAAGAAGGTGTCAGATACCCAGGAACATGAGTTAAGGATAGTTGTCCACCGCCATGTGTACCTGTGAACTAAACCTGGCTCCTCCGCAAGAGCAGCTAGTGCTCTTAACCACCGAGCCATCTCTGCAGTTCCTATTTTCAGTTTCCTGAGAATTCATCACGCTGATTTCCATAATAGTGGCACTAGTTTGCAATCTCACAGAAATGAATGACCCCCCCCATCACCACCATTTGTTGTCAGTTTGTTTTCTTTTTTAGCTGTTCTGCCTGGGATAAGATGTAATCTTAAAATAGTGTTAATTTGCATTTCCATGATAGCTAAAGATGTTGAACATTTTCTTTTTTGGTCTTTTTGAAACCAGGTCTCCTTATAGCCCCACTTGTCCTAGAATTTACTATGAGCTCTCACAGAGATCCACCTGCCTCTGCTGGGACTAAAGGCATGCTCCATCACGCCTGGCATGCTGAACATTTTTAAAAAGTATTTATTAGCCATTTTTACTTCTTTTCAGAATTTGCTATTCAAATATATAGCCCATATTTTTGCCAGTTCATTTTATTTATTCTTATTAAACAACAGCCAGTTTTATCTAATACGTCAAAGGAATGAACTTCAGAAGAAACGATCTGCCTAGATGATGCCAAACAAGAATAGCTATGCTCTGTTGAAAGGATGTGAACCTTTTCAATATTAGCTTTCATTTGTGTCATAATTTCAACATAAATAAACTTCTCTGCTCTGGCT